GGCAGGGGGGAGGAGAGGGAAGAGCCATGCAGTCATACAGATAACCACAGTTTTTGGGGGCAGGTTGCTGGGGTCTTTTTCCCCTCTGGTCTTCAAGAACACAAGGACAGAATCACTGAAACAAACAAGAAAGGAAGCCCGAGTTCCTCTTAGTCCTCCCCTGCTTGTCTCCTGGCCCTCGAGACTACATTTTCCAATGAATTCTTTCTGTTCTTAGGTAAATTACACTGGAGACCACCTGGGTCTCTGCCTCACTGTTTTAAAAGACACAGAAAAATTAGCTTAGTGCTCATTTACATCCTTTCCCCTGATTTTCCACATGGGAAATCATCAGAACAGTCTGTAAGGTATTGACAGCATGGGTCTACTACTCTCCAAAGGAAACCTGAGAATGAACAGAACTAGTTTTCCTTCTGCTGATACCCATTAGCTCTGTTGTCAGAACAGGAAAGAAGACACCAGACGCAGAGCAACACCTAACATCCAACTGACCTACAGAATAAGGAAATCTACACAGTTCAGGACAGCTATTACATCAAAAAAAAAAAAAGAAAAAATCAAGAGGATAAGCAAATCTAAGGTACATGCTGATAGCACACTACTTTCTACTATCAGCTTGTAATAAACAACTGGAAAGCAACTTTGACGGGCAGTCAGCAACACATTTCACAGATACTGTAAACTCAACTACTTGTTTCTGAAGGTAATTCACTTTATAATGCTAAGAGGAGTAAAACAGTATCCAGCTTCTGCACTATCCAACAGAACAAATATAGACTTCACAACCAAATGCAAGCAAATCTCAAGCCTCAGTTATGAAAATCTTCATGCCTACTTAGCATACCTCCTTGGTGTATTTATTTACATACTGTGGTAAAACCATACCTCCATCACTTCTCTCTCCTATACAGCCAACATTGACAACAGGAGAGCGAACTAGAAACTTTTTTTCTCCTTCTGCATCATCAGAGCTGTTCAATGAATTCTTACTACAGAATTAGCCGGCAGAGGTCTCGCATACCCCTAGAAGGGCACTGTTCCTGCTGCTGGCAGCTACCCCAACAAGCCACATTTCTGCAAACACCCAATACTCCTTTCACCACAACCCTGGGACAAGCAACATTCAGCCTCAACATCATGCTATGTACCACTCTGGCAGGCACAATACAGTCTCATATTAAAAATACATATACAAAATAGTAATGTCTCAGAACCACCACACACACCCCAGAGGAAGCCCACCACAAGAATTCTGGGGCATGCTTTCTGACAATCTGCTCCAAACGCCAGATGATGCTCACCCTGAGCAGCGCGCATATGAGCCTAGCTGCACCAGCTCACCTGGCAGCCTCATCCTCCTTCCGGTACAAAGGTCACACAACCTTTGTTACTTACAGCACAGGGTACGACACGTGCCGGTTGAGTGCTGGAGAGGCTACCACTACCACTGTGAAACCAGTTCTCAGGTCTCCCATCTTTCTGCAGCGCTCAGCAACTTTATCCTGAGTATTACAAACCAATCTGGACTGGAGCGCAACCAGATGGAGAGATTAACGATGATTAACAGAGTCAGGTAGATATGCCAAAGCCTGGAGATCAATGCAAGAACAGCAAGGATTTGTCCCCCTTATTCTCCCCACCCCAAAAGGGCCACTTTAAACACACAAACCTTCTTTTGACCTGCTAAACTTCCTACCGGTTCTGTGAACAACTGTCCTAACACAGCCTTGGTGGTATTCAGAACAGAATTCATTAATCCAGAGAGATGAGGGAGATGACAGTGATGGAGAGGGATTCTCCAGCTTGTACATCCCTCAAGGGGGAGGTCTGACAGATCTGTTCTACAAAAGCTTCATCACCTTTTAAAAAAGTGTGGTGGTCCTCCATATTTTAAAACCAGAAGTTGAAATGGACCCCTCACTCCACTGTTTTCCGTATTAAGAACCACTACAATCATTATTCTCTAGGGTCCTGCAAGATCAGAACCTTCATAAGCCCCAAATACTAGTTTGTTTTAATCACTTTTTTTTTAAAAGTACTTCTGCAGTTGCTGTCAGTAACCAATACTATTTATTCTGACAGTCTTTATTCTGCTTTTCCTCGTAACAGCTGTAGGCTATAGCTGAAGTACTGAAACAATATACAAAACACACTACTGGGAATGCAGGCAGATGGGGGCAAGGAGACTAAGGTGTGAAAAAGCAACAGAAAAAGAGGGAAGAGGAAAATGTCAATTAAGGAGAGAAAGAAAAAGCACACGGGTAGGGGTATTCACTTTCCAGCAAACAGGACACTCCAGTTTGCCCAGGAAAATAGATGAGAGTAATCACTGGTTTACAGTTAAGAAAAATTAATCAAAAAGTTTGAAGTGGGCTCAAGCAGAAAATGGATTAAACCCAGTTAAAAATCTCCCCATGTTTCTAGAGTCTCAATTCAATCAGTCTCCGCCAACAGGTGTGGAGGAAAAGCCCCCTAACTAAACAGGAAAATAAAAGTAAGTAGGAGGAAATTAAATGGCAAAACTACATGAATGGAAGGGAAGACAAAAATGCTGAGATTTGCAATGAATATACTTTGTTTCAGCACTGAATTTTACTTCTTACATTTTGCTCAGTCTTGCTGGCAGACATGCCGTAATAATATAAATTACCAGCCATGGTGCCCTAAGAGGTGACAGCAGAAATATCATATTGATACACTGAGTTAAATTGTTCCAGTTTTTAGCTCAAGTAGTGAGCAGTAAACAGGATAACATTTGTTTTTTCCACTATTGCCAGTTGAAACATCACTGCGTGCCTTTCAGCCCAGCATTACTTCCTACCTAGCTGTCATACCAGGGAAAGACGTCTGCAGGACAGAAGTGATTCTGAACAGCAGCTTTGTTCAAATTTCAGCTCGGTTGCTTAGGACTCCGATTCACAACTGCAGCAACTGAGGAAATAATGGTCCAAAATGCTTTACCCTATTATCCCAATGTGTATCATCACCAAAACAACAGGGATTCAAATAAAAGAGATGTCTACCACCCCCCCGCCAGTTTCTACTCTGCAATAGTTGCATACAGGAAATCAGTGATAAGCTATATGAACAATCTGAGAACAGTAAGCACTGTGGACCCCATGGGTAATATTAGCCTGGAATTATTAAATCAAAGACCTTATAATTTGCTCATCCAAACTCTACTTGCGAGTTTCTATGGAATAATCTAAATTGCCGCCTTTCATAACCTCTCAGTTACTGTGCAG